TTTATTCTTGAAATGAAACATGGGACACGTGGGAGGTATGGCAAAGCTGAATCAAGTGGAAAAAGTGGGCCCCTTTTGTCAAAAATGAAGTTTCAAGGATAGTTGACTTTGGCCATTTCACAAAAATTTCCCAACTTCTCCAATGCATATCTTGCTCAATTGTGAAGCTATGAACATGTTCTTGGACATTTTGGAAAGGTCTTGAAGTCCTCTAACCAATGCATTTGGTCCCATGTGATTTTGATTTACCAATCTCAAGTTATGGTCTTTGACTTAAAGTGCCCTTTTGTTGACTTTTGAAAATGACCTATAATGTTGAAATTGATAACTTTTTGTGAGAGCGTTTCTTGGACTTGGAATGTGAAGATTAGTTGTAGGAAATGTCTTCCCCTTCAAGATGAGCATTGGATGGGATTTTTCTGATGAACCATGAAAAAGTTATGCCTTGGTCAAGTTACAGTTGACTTTTCAGCTGTCCAAAAATAGAAACTTTTGACACCTTGATGATTTTTGAGCCATTCTTGTGAAATCATGGTCAAGACTTGACCAAATGATGATTGTGGCTTCAAAATAAGATGTTGACCAAAAATTTTGACTTTTGATTGCCAAATGACCATTTTGCCCCTACAGTTGACTGTGGAGCAATTAGGATTTTTGACTGTGCAACTTGACCTTGTGAGCCTTGAAACTTGACATGTAGGTGCTTGACAATGTATATGAGCATATGGGACTTGATTGAGCCTTTGAAAACCTCAACTTCCTTGAAGGAACCAAAACCCTAATTTGACTGGCTTTAGGAGAGTGCTTGACTGAGTAACCCTTGAGTAGACTTAAGCAAATGCTTGCCAAAACTTTGAAGAATATGGGAGGGCAAATTTTGGGGTACAACAGTTGGTATCTCAGCAGGTAATTTAAACGAGACTTTTCTTGCCTTGGGATGTGCGCTGTCTGGCCTTTTCGACGTCCCCCTTTTGTCAAACACATACATCTTTGGGTTTGCCTCCCTTGGCTCCCAACTACCATGAAAAGGGATCCGTTCAAACATTTCAGCAATCTCTTTGTCATATACTGCGCCACATCTTGGGCACATCAGGATTTCTGATTCCGCTTTATAACAACGAAGTATGAAAGCCAAAAGTGTTTCACCTGGCCTTGGGTAAACCCTCATCAGTTGACTTTCCTGGCGCCAATTTCCCTGGGTGTTGATGCATTGTACCCTCTCATAATTTTCAGCCACTCTCCGACTCAACATAATGGAGCACCTTGGGCACAGTAACATCTTGCTGGCATTTCTCTCATGGCATCTCCACAAGTATTGGTGCAGGTTCTCATTGGCCTTTGGGTAGCCAAAATTCTCCCTTTTTTTGTTGCTTCAACAGGTGGTTTTCCAATTCCTCCATCTCTGAAGCGGGTTGGCGCAGATTGACCATGTTGACTCCCATGGCTCCTTCAGAGATTTTCATTTCTTCGAGTCTAGCTCTGAGACCTTCAGTAGCCTCATGAGTATCTTTCTGAGGACCCTCAGTAGCCCCAAACTTGATTTGTTCCGCCTGGGGATCTTCAACGTCAGTGTCGAAAGACTCTCCAGTGTTTAGGCCATCAGCAACCTGCTTTCCTTCCTCCACGACCTTTGCTTCTTCAGTGCTGACTACGTCCACCATATTGATGTCTAGAGGTTCAGCGTAGTTGGTAGCGGCCACATTCAAAGGGTCCGCATCCACTTTCATAGGTCATTCCCCCTTGTCAGCGAATTTCAGCCGTCCATCCTTGATAGCATTTTAAATTAGATCCCTGAAAAGAAAACAAGCTGATGTTTTATGGCCAAGGAAACCATGGTATTTGCAAAAACCTCTTTTCTTCTGTTGTTCTAACGGAGGAATTTTAGCGTTAGGAGGCACTATCATTTGACCATCCCTCACCAGTAAATCAAATATTTCATCACATTTAGTGACATCAAAAGTGTAAGTTCTTTTGGGATATTTATCGCTCTTTTCCTCTTCGACGGGGTTCTTCCCATTCGAAGGTGTTAACATTTTACAGGAGTAAGGGGGTGCCTCTTTTAGTTCAGACAAATCTATTTATACCTCTTCAACACCATAAGGGTTGTTATGTGGCTCGTATTCTTCACTTTCTGCTTCGACATAGGCTACCCTTTCTTTTTTATGATTTTTACTTGCCATGGCCTTCTCAACATTCAGTCGTTCGACCTGTCGAACTCTATCTGCCAACTGGGCCATATCTCTCAAGTGTTGAGTATCTAACTTCTTTCTAATGGAATAATCTAACCCACCTGCAGCCATTTCAACCAACTCATGCTCAGGCACCACAGTAAAGCATCTAGATTTTAGAAGACGGAACCTATTTAGGTAGTCGTCTATGGGTTCTGTGAATTTCCTCTTTACGCTTGCCAATTCCTTCAAACTTATCTTTGTTTGTCCCACATAAAACTGTTCATGGAACGATCTTTCTAAGTAAGACCATGTATCTATGGAATTAGGAGGCAAAGTGGTAAACCATGTAAAAGAATTTTTGGTTAGTGAACTAGGGAAATATTTTATTCTTAGGTCTTCATTGTTTGCTAAGTTTCCCAACTCTGTCAAATACCTGGCAATGTGCTCGATGGTGGATTCATTTGTATCCCCTGAGAAATTAGTGAATTTTGGGATCTTGTGACCCCTTGGTAATTCTGTTTGTAGAATAAATTCCGCTATAGGGGAAGTGTAGTTGGGGCGTCAAAACCCTGTGTTTAAACCATTATTATCCATGATTCTTTCGACTATATTTGCTATATTATTTTCGACCAACAGGTGGTCTTGTCTCACTCTGTGAACAACTTCATCTGCATCTTGGCCTCTATTGACCATGGCTATTCTCCTGGGTGGTTCCTCAGGGTCTGGTTGTCGAATGCCTACCGGTTCAATTCTTGGTTCTTCGACCAAATTCTGTCTAGGTTGTTGAACTTGGTTTATAGTTGGTTCTTCTTGAACCCCTATGAAATTCTGCCTGCGTCGAACAGGCGGTTGGGGGTTCCCAAAGAAATCTGCTATTTGCGCCATATGCGCTGACAACTGTTGGTATGATTGGGTGTTTTCTTGATTGGTTCTGTTTATATTCTGGATTAGGGGAGAAAAGATAATATTCATTTCTCTTGCCAATATTCCAACCATATCTTGGTTACTAGCGTCCATTTGTTGTCTAAGTGCTGCTTGGGTATTCGTGGTTAAAGTAGGCATCTGGGCTGATAGGCCTTGGTTTTGGGTGCTTCGACCAATTGAACCAACATTTTGAATTGGCGAAAAAGTACTTATGTTAGGTTGAGTATATGTGGAAGTGCCATTGTGTAAACCGCTCATGAATGATGATGAGGGTCCTCCATATGGCTGTTCTGTCCAAGGCCTAAAATTTTCGAATCCTGGTGGCCTGTGTGGTGTCGAAGGTGGTATTTGGCCTCCTACATATGTTAGAACAGGGCCATTTTGAGTATTCGACAGAGATTCTGATGTACCCCCGTAGGGGGGCACGTTGGTCGCACTAGCCACAGAAGCAGTTCCTGTGTAAGGTGGATTTGAATTAGATGCGACCATTGCTCCCATTGATGTTGGAATGGCCTGGGAACTGGTCGTCGAGTTTATACCAATCGTTCCTGATCCTTGTGGAGGATTCTGTCCTCCTTGATCGTTAGTTGTGTTAACCATTCTTCTGGTGTGTTTTTTCTTAGGTATTGGTTGAGATTCTATAGTAACTCTGCCACTCCTAAGGTTTATATAACGCTTTTGTGTATCTTACCAGAAAATAGTGTTTCAAACCCTCTTTTATGATTACCACTGGTTTCCTCTTAAAACGTTATGACACTGTCCCACCGGGTGTGCCAATTTGTTCGCAGTGATTTCTGGCGAAACAACCGCTAGTCTTCCAAACAGATTTGATGTGTATGGTTACTTGCAGGATCGACTAGATTGATCCTAGAACATTGCCTTAACGTCAATTGTAACACTTTCTTGAGGGCTTATGTAAAATATGAAGTGATACTTGTGCATGTGTTTGTATAAAGATTTGGAGTGCAAGGCTTCTGAAATTAAATTCAAATGTAAAGTTTTAGCCGAAGCATCTTAATTAAACAAAAAAAAGGTTTGAATATAAATGTTTGACAATAAAAAGACTTAATACTGGAATTAAGTGACTTAATTTGATCTATGAATCTTTGCAGGAGAGTAAGACAATTCGACGGAACATAAAGAATTTAACGTAACGTAAAGAATTTTAAGAACAATTGCAGGAAATTGTAACAGAATGATTTTAAAGACAGTTATATTGATAAGTGCAATTTCAAAGATAAAATTGTGAGGTCATACGTACATTCTCAACGAAACTCTTTCTCTTTAACTTGATATTTGAGTATTCTTGTGAGTAACTTTGTACGAAATCTGACCTCCTTTTCCTTAACACTAAAGAGCTATTTATAATGTCCTAACCATAACGGTACTATTCTAGGAAAATGCGACGTTGCTCTCTTGCATGTCTTTCGACACTCTAAGGCTTCCACGCGTCCTTCTTATCCAAAGAAACCCTTTTCGAATTTCAAATAATCCCGCTCAAGCCTTCAGTAATGATTTTCTTACGTGGCCGTCGAAAATGCGCTCTTTAGACCAAATAAACAATCTGTCCTTTTCAGACTATCTTCGACGTAGATCTAGTAAATGTATTTCGACATAAAAACTCTTCTTCAGCCGTCTTATAAAAATTTTAAAAAATGTAAAAGCTCCTATATTAACCTGGTCGAAATTCCCAGCTAACACCGTCTCAATGAATATCTATTTACATTCGTAGTTCAATCCAAAAATTAAATTAAAAAAAATATTTATCTAAGACTCAAACTGTTGGACTATTTAAAAAGGATTAACAAAACCACATTCGTAAAAATTAATGTGAATAACAACATATGATCCTTTATTTGCTATTTGATGGTTATTTTACATATTTATGTTAAAAAAAATTAAAAACTATTTAAAAAAGCTTTCTATGAGATCATCATACTTCGAAAAATCTTCGGTAATTTCAGGCAAGACTTCATAGTTATTGTCATCCTTCCCTAATATCAAATTATTATGATCACATGCTTTCAACATATCTTCCATCACTCCTTGATTAACATGATCAATGGGTTGAACTTCAGGAATAAGTAACAAAGATCCAACCTGAATTTCTTGTGGGTTTAACAGATTTTCTATTGAAACATCTCCCACTTCCAAAATATTTTCAATGTCGTCCATTCTATTAGGACAAATATAATTTTCTGTTTCTGAATTGTTCTTTTTATCCTTAGACATTGGAGGACAAGAAATATTTTCAAATTCTGAATTCTTTGCCTTGTCCTTGATCTCAGGAGGGCAAAACACATTTTCAGCTTGAGAGTTGTTTCCTTTGACCTTGACAACTATAGGACAAGAAATATTTTCAACTTTCGAATTATTCACTTTGTCTTCAATCCTAAGAGAAAATGTTGAAGAGATTTGAGAGCTTAGAGAAATATTTTTCTCTTTTTCGGCCTGCTTTTCTTTCCGAACCTAAAAATAATAAATAATACAAAATAGTTACTCAAAATTATGTAAGAGATTGATGTAGCAATAATAATATTTAATATATGTTTGATGCATCACCCTCTTTTTATAGCTTCTCTTCTTCCTAGGTACATAGGCACTAGGAAAAAGTAAGTTATCACTCCTGACTTCAAGATTGTCTTCATCTTTAGCCTCGATTACAACCTTATTCTCTTCATTGTCCCCATGCATTAGATGACAAAATTTAATTTCTGATTCTAAATTTTTCGCCTTGTCATCGATTTCAGAAGAACATAAAATATTTTCAGTTTGAGGATTGTTTCCTTTGACCTTGATAACTAGAGAACAACACATATTTTTAACTTCCAAGTTGTTCTCTTTATCTTCAATCTTAGGAGAAAATTTTGAAGAGCTTAGAGAACTTTGAGCAACATTTTTCTCTTTTTCTGCGTGTTTTTCTTTTTGAACCTGAAATATTGTAAACAATGATAAAATAGTCAGTCAAAATCATGTAAATATTTTTTTTTAGAAACATTAATATCAAATTTAAGTTTGATACATCACCCTTTTTTTTAATTTTATATTTTCTCTTCTTACTAGATACAAATGCATTAGGAAGAAGTAAATCAACACTCTTAACTTTAGGATTGTTTTCATCCTTTGTCTCGATTTCAACCTTATTATCTTCACTATCAACTTCATCTTCCTCACAATTGTTCGAAGAAGTAAAATTAAGATAATATACATAATTTATAACTAAAAGTTTTTAAAATATAATTTATAAATAATGCAATAAAAACAATTAAAAATTATATTTTAGTTCACAACCTTTCTCTTTCTTTTCTTTGATTCCAACTTGGCATATCCTTCGGGAAGTAAGCGATTCACAACCTCTGTAACTGATCGTAATTTTTTACCACCGGTGATAACGTCATGAATATAGTACTTTAAAAAACAAAATTTTTAAAAATCATTAGTATTGTATTCATAAACAATTATGTATTATTTTTAAGATAACTGTATAATAAAAATATTTAGATCTAAATACAACAATGCAGAAAATTTCAATCAACAAGACAACAAGTACAGAAAGAAAATAAGTTTTTTTTACCATATCACATATTCCTGAATTTCTTTTTCGACATTGAACTTTCCAATGTTTAAGATTGAATAACATATTGTCTATTCCAGAGAAATATGTAACGTCAAAATCTATAGGAAATGAAAAAGAAATGATTTTCGTTTCCATCACTGTTGTTGTCAATTGGTTTCCACGTCCAGTCGATTCCTACCAAACAACATCATCATTTACAATAATAAAAACAAAAACAAAATATTTTTTATTACACAATTGTATTCATAAATAATTTTAAGTATATTAAATAGTTAAACTTTAAGTAATTATTGGGCAAAAATATGAAATGCTTTTCAATTATGCCTGTTGTGTATAGAACAAAAATATAATATTATTGAGTCCCCATTTTGTGTTTAATCTTTATGATTCAACTTTTTTATACAATATCAAAGTGATATGTTTATGAAAATAATTATATGATAGAAGAATAAGTACCGCAGTGGACGTGATTTCTGCATTTGTTTTAATCATATCACAACACCTAGATCTAAAATCCTGTACTTTATTCTGTTTCATGTAACAAGATAGACAAATAGCATTAGTCATAGAAACGTTTATATATATATATATCTAAAAGTGTAATTAATTAAAAAAAAAGAAAATTAAAATATAATAAAATATATTGACTAACACTAACATTGATATTGTCTCTAAGGAGGTAAGCCAGTTCTCGCCCATAACCAGCATTCGCTCCATTGTTACTCATTCTTTGAAATGAAATAGAATAAAAATGTAAAAGTTCACTACTTTGTTTATAAATTATTTGGTGAATATAATGAATGTATAACTCTTTATATAGTGAATGATAGAACTAAAAATGTAAAAGGTGGAAAATATAAATTATTAAAATGTTGAGAAAATTATTTTCCATTCAAAAAAATAATATATACAAAATCAGTAAAAAAAAAAAGCTATAAATTCATTATTTTAACGTTTATTTACATTAATTCCAGGCATTGAATATATATCTTTCTTGCAAAAAGATATATAATATTATATTAAATTATAATAAAATTATTCATTTTGAGAATTAAAGGAAAATTCAAAAACAAGTAATATTTATTTTTCTAAAGTAACCAAAATTTTGAAACAATACATAAAAATATATATTTGGTCAAATTAAAATACTAAACTATTAAGTATTTTATAGTATTAATAGTCACTAAATTTTTAATCAAAATAAATAAAATTTATTGGAAAATATCCACCATACTTAAACAAAAGTTGGCAATTTTGTTTAACCTTTTTTTTTCTTTCTCCTATGGACTTCATGTTGGAAAATTCTTCTTGGCACTCTCACATATTTTAACAATATTCTTGTTAAAATTTATGTAACAAAGAGTGAACGAAAAATACGGTAGTGTATTTTAAAAAGTTCGGTAAGAATTTTTACTGCTATTTTTTTTAAAAAAAATTAACATATCGGATTTTCTTGAAAAATCCAGTATCTTTGATAATTTTTTGAATTTTTAAAAAACCAATAGTTAATATGTGGTCAATAATTTTTTAATACTATCAGATTTTTCAAAAAGAATTGTGGTTTTCCGGTTTTTTTTAAAACTGTTGTAATTTTTTGGATTTTAAAAAAAATCTGATGGTGTAAACAATTTTTTTTTGTCGAATTTCAACTACCAACAATTTTTTAAATTCTGGAAGCTACCATATTTTTTAGAAAAGCCCGGTATTTCTTTAAACATTTCCCAAAATCATTGCGTTTTTATCTAAAATTTCAAAATTTTCCAATATTTCCTTGAAAAATTGGGTAAAGATATAAAAATTTCGATTTTATTTTAAATGGCACACTGCAAGGAAAAGGCTCCCCGGTGAAGTGATTTTGGGACGTGATAATCATGTGGCAAAAAACGTGAGTTGCGATGTAATTATCACGTCATTAATTGATTATAATAATAAAATATTCATCCTGCAACGTTCATATGGGGAATTAGATTTTATTTTTAAAAAATAACGTTGCGACGTGTTAATCACATCGAAACTTAAAAATTTAAAAAAAATGAAAAACTTAAACGTTGAAATGGGGGAAGTAAAAAATCTCAAATTTTAATCTGTGACGTGTATATCACGTCACAAAATTGACACAGTAGACTGACAAAGAATTGATAGGGCGCAAAAGGCTTTTCAATCTTTGTATCATTAGTTGGTTGCGACGTGAATATCACGTGGCAAAGTTGCAACGTGAATATCACGTAGCAAGGTTGCAATGTGATATTCACATCACTGATTGGGTATTAATTTATTACCGCTGGTTGTTTACGACGTGGTAATCACGTCGCAACATTTTAGTGGGAAAAGAGCCTGACTTTAAATTGACTTGGTACAGGTGACTGCAGGCCGTGCGAATAAATTATTGATTGTTGTGGAGTTTGCGATGTGGAAATCACCTGGTAAGATTGTGACGTGATTTTCACGTCATTGATTGACTATATATATTTTTTTCATTTCACAAATAGAAACCTCATTACTCAGCATCTCTCTGTATCTTCTTCTTTTTCTCTCTGTTTCTCACCATCTATATACACCCATATCTCAATTTCTATTCCACTTCCAATTTACAAAGATAACACTCTTCTATAATTTTGCTTCAATTTTTTTTAATAATTTTGTTTAATGTTTAAACTGTATTGGGATTTTAATGTATGTTAGTTTTTTTCAAGATATTGAATAGAAGAAGATTGAAGAAGATTTGAAAAAGATTGAGTAAGAAGATTTAAGGAGAGCTGCTTAATCCTCAATATACTCTGGGAGAGGGAGAGTCGCTTCATTCAGATGTGGATTTTTATATTTGTGATCAAGTCATTGGCGGAAAAGGCTCTAACAGTTGTTTTTTTGGTGGTGAAAATTTGACGGACACCTTGAGAAGTGGGAATAGAACTCTATTTCAAAGAGTTAGAGATGGGGAAGGAGAGTCACGTTAATCATATTTGACACCAGAACAACTTGAAACAGTAAGATAATTGACCTTAAATGAGGCGAGACGCAAGTTAGTGCAACGTGAGGCAGCAATGAAGGCCCAAATGGACACTCAAATGGAGGCAACAAGGCAAGAGCAACAACGACAAATGGAGGTCATAGAGAAGAGGCAAGCTGATATGGAGTAGCAAATGAGACAATTTATACAAGAGTTTGGTGGAAATTAAAACGTTCGTGGTCAAGAGTCGGAGAATGACGAAAACGAAGATAATTTTGACATTGACAACTATAACAACCAAGATGACCCGTAGAATTAAAATTTTTTATTTTGCTTTCAAATTTGAATTTGTGTAACATACTAATTAATTAAATCTATTTAATATATTAAATTAAGAAATATTAAATTTATAATTTTAGTTTATTAATTTTATTATATTAAATTTATTTAGTTTACTAATTTATATATTGAATTTATTTAATTAATATCAGATTTCTGTGCAAACAAGTTGCGACGTGATTTTCACGTCACAACTTTGTGACATGAAAATCACGTCGTAATAAATTTGTCATCTGCTCCCCAGTCACGTGATTGTTCATGTTGTAAATTAATAGTTATGACATTATTTTTCACGTTGTGACGTAAATATCATATCGCAAATAAGATTGTTTTTTGTAGTGAAATAAAGGTAATAACAACTCCCTTGTGGGGGTTCCAGAAATAAGTTTAGGGGTATAACAGAAAGAGTAGAAGAAAGAGTACTCTTCATGTTGACCTTTTTTATTAGAGGCAGCCCGATCCAATTACATTTAGATCTTTCTTGATAGTATTAATCTAAAACCCTAAGTGAGTTCTATCCATCCATTCACTACCATTCTAAGTTGTGTTCTTGTTCACCCTTCCTATGTGGTTCTACAGTCATAACATATCTTGAACTTGTTATAATACTCTGAATTTTTATTGTAGTAATCATGTACCTAAATTTAAGGTGTTGAATCATTACAAGAAATATCATCTCCAGTCACGTGATTTTCATGTGGCTAAAAAAAGCCAGTTGCGACGTGAAAATCACGTGGCAACATGTTTTATTAATAAAATAAAGAAGCCTGATGGTTGTCTGACTTTTTTTATAAAAAAATATATGTTGCGACGTGGGATTCACGTCGCTACTAAAAATATAATAAAAAATAATTTAACTAGTCTAACGTTCAGATGGTTGTCATTTTAAAATTTTGAAAAAGTAAGTTGCGACGTGTTATTCACGTCGTAACATTTAAGAGGGAAAAATCAATCATTATAGACTGGTGTGTTCAGACTTTGCAGGCATATGAAGAAAGAGAATATGACTGTTGGGATGGTTGCGACGTGAAAATCATGTGGCAACGTTGCGGCATGATTTTCACGTCGCTAAGTGCTTTATATATTTATTTCAATCACGCTCCACAACCAGTATTGTTATGTAATAACATAAAAACTGTTCTTCTTCAACCCTCTTCTCCTCATTCCATCCCTCCATTAACCATATTCTTCTTCATAAAATCTCTTCTTCTCCAATATAAAATCTCTTCAATCTCCATTAATTCTTGTCTTAAGGTAAATTAAATTAAATTTTGTCTCTATTTTGTTTACAAGTTTTTATTTATTGTATTGTAATTTTTTTTTTAATTTTTCTTTGAATAGAAGAAGATTGATAGAAGAAGATTGATAGAAGTAGATTGCAAAAAGGTTGGACAAGAAGATTGAAGGAGTTAGAAGATAAGAGGTATTTCTTGGATTTTTTTTAATTTAGTATATTTTCTGAATTTAGTTAAATTTTAGGTTGAATTTGGTTAAATTATAATATTGTAATTTTAATTGAATTTGGTTGAATCAGATTTTATTTAATTTATAAAAACAGAATAAAAAATATTTAATTTGGTTGAATTTGATTTTATTGTAATATTATATTTTATGTAGAATGTTAATAAAAAATTAAGAAATTTAAAATTTAAGTTTTTTATATTATTAAGGGTATTAAAAAAATTAGGTAATAAAGTTAATTAAAGTTAATAAACAAATAATAATAATAAACATAATAATTAGATAGATACATATAACTAAATAAATAAGTAAATTGTGATAAATACAATAATAATTAATATAAATTTTATGCATTGTAACTTAGTTATGAATAATAATAATAATAACAAAAAGATTTATCTTTATAAGTTTGTATTTTATTAATTTATAAAGAAAATACAAATTATTTTTATAAGTTTTTAAATTTTAAATGTCCAAATGTAATACATTTGTCTTAGTTGAAAATATTTTATTTTTGGACGAATTGTTTTAATTGAATGTTGTCAAATCTAATATGTTGGACTTAGAGAAAGTGTAATAGTCCCTTGTTTTTTTTTTATTTAAAAAACTTTAAAATTTTTATCGATTAGATTACATAATGATGTTTTTTTTTATTTTAAAATAAAACTTTTTTGTTTTGTTTTTAAAGTACAAATTATTTAAAATAATAATATTTTAATAATGTAAAAAATAAAATAATTATTATTACGTTTATGTATAATAAATAAGTTAGGAATAATAATATTAATTATTTTTATTATTTAGTTTATTTTAAATTTAAAAATAAAAAAGATTATATCGTTATTACTTTATATTTTATATCTTTATAACCATTTAAAATTTAAGTTGATTATATTCTTAGGGGTATTTAATAAAAATTTAGTAATAAGTAAATTAATGTTACAAAATAAATAATAATAAATATAGTAATTAGTGAAAAA